CAGGTGCAGCAGCCGAAGTGCAACATATCAGTGGAGCCAGGCGTATTTCCTTAACATGGCAGGATGGCATGCTTCGGGTTTCCGTTGGCGTGGCTATCACAGGCGGCGCTTCATGATGGGGAACATTTTGATGCAAGGTCTAGTGACTAAACTAGAGAACAAGCTGCGGCCTAAAATGAATACATTGGCCATATGTTCAGTCGCGGAGACAGTACCGTGTTACCTGACTGTTATAGCTAGTTCGCTTTGACCGGACCAATACGCTGTTGTCGACGTAGATTAAATCAACATCAAGGACAACTAGCAGCACGAATAAAACGATGCGAACAGACAAAAACTTAGGAGTTCAAGAAAAATTAATTCTTGTTGGTCTGCCTGGAACAAACAACCTTGTGAATACTGATCAGTCGTTAGACAACAGAACTAAACCGCAAACGAGAAGACATGCTCATGCCTACTTAGATCATCTAGAATTGGGGCAGGTAGGCTGATCAATAGAATGTGGGACAAGCATAAGAAAAACACTCACTACATCATAACAGTCTAGTAGGCAATAAGCGGTTGTTTCGCAGCTACGTATTCTGCGATAATTCTGCGATTCTGGGATAACGAGGCTGCCTGTATAGCGCACATAAATTTTGTGCCACACTTGTGACCAACACGCACACATAGACGGTATGGCGGTATGTGTAGACAATACGGACAGACAGAACGGAAGGTGAAAATTTGGAAATGACAGAGACAAAATTGCTATGGTTGAGTGATTAACGTGATTGTACACCGGAACTAAGTGGACTGGTCACCATGACGATCCGTGAGCGGGCGGTGCGATCGACTAGACAGGGGATACCTGTGTGACACAGACATCTACCACTCGTATCAAACTTCAGATGTGTCGTTTTAGTCACGCTTTGGACTACTCATTTCAAAGTTTAACCAACCCCACCTTCTATCAGCTATTGATCTACACAATCCACACGTCAAAAGGTGCTTCAAACAGACTACGTCTAACTATGACATCGTTGAGTAAGACGGGGACTCGTTGGCTTATGGCTTTCAATCTAGAAATGGTCACATAAATAATAGGAGTTTCCTCATCTTCCGTATTTCGGCTAGGCTAGAGTCAATGAACAGTCCCGGTAGGATAATAGACAACAAGAACCACTATAAGCTCCGAAGCCTTCGTCTTTTTGTTGCGGGTAAGCCATGATTGTTTACGCTGACGGACTCCCAGGTTATTTGCTCTCACCATATCGGAATAGACTGCCATGTAATGACGGGATGTGGTGTCTCTAACCTACCGCACTATTTCAAAGGTATGTCGCACACACCAAATCACATTATAGTACCCCACTGATACTAGTGTCTGGAGCAAAGGTCGGAAGTTCCACTTCAATGATAGCCAAGAGACAACCAGACAATGTTTTCACTTCCTATTAGACGGACATGCACATGTTCACTGCACCATCACATTTGTTACTGAACCGGAAGTACATCAGTGGAAAAATTCACTACGAGCACTTTTCGAACCAGTCACCTTGTTAGGAATTCTCAGTACAAGAACTACGCAAGTCACCCTACAACAGGGTGGCAGGGTAAGTTTTCTATATGTCTTATGGAGGACCACTGTCAAGTGAAGAGGAAGCAGCCCGCAAAAATTGCGCAGCTGATGCCACCCGAGCCATAAATCTGCCATTGACACATGCCAAATGCACACCGTGAAATCTTTGAACAAAAGAGACACGAAAAAGTACGGGATGGAAAACAACTCTTGTCTTCTGCGGTTGAGTACTCGGCATTTATAACACCACATACGGTGCTGCGCCCCCCCACCCCAGTAGACCGATTTCAAGAATATAGCGAACAGACCCTGATCAAGATATGGCTAATTTCCTAAGGTAGGAACTTACAACAAGGCAGCAGCCTGATAGAAGAGTGAAGAGTAATTTTTGAACCATACCATAAAGGAGAATTTCAACCACGGCCGCTGAGGCAGGGGAAACAGGAGAAAAATAGTTATCCTCTGGATAACCGGTGACCTGAACACCAAATAGTGCTGCACACTGATGCAGGCGTCATTTTGGAGCACGACTTCCAAAGTGCGACTGAGTCACGTGCTGCAAAGAACACGGTGCATGCTTCTGCACGCAAAACAACGACCAAATCGCTGTACTGGTTGAATGACTGTACCTCACAGTCGCTGTTCATGGCCTGGAATCATGGCCTGAAACATTATTGAAATACCGTTCCGATTGGTTGCTTTGAGAAAAGCAGATTTGTTTACCACACTGAGAGATTCACTCAGAGTTCGTTTAGATCTCGTAACAGCAAGCTAATTGGTTCAGCTGTTTATAAAGTCTGAGCTGATGAGTTATAGTTCTGAATCATCAAAAACATGTTTGAAAGATCTAGCAATGTGGAACAAAGAACGTTGGAAGATAAAGATAACTAGGGCACAATACGCATTGGGAAGAAACAATGGTGATCCAATGTACATGGTCAGAAAGTGAAGACAGAATGAAAAAAGAACGGAAACGGACATACATTAAGAACCAAACCATTTTGCCTCATTCTTTCGGTGTCTTATGAGGATTGAATGGTCACGTATTCCAGTCACTGAACAGACACACAAACGATGTAAGACAAGTCACTGGAGCAGCGTGGTCATTCACTTCAGTAAAAAAGAACAAAACTATTACGCAATCAGATTGTTCCGCGCACTGCTACTATGTAACTTGAAGGAAAAAAGAAAGAAATGCATATGACGCGCACTCACTTTTTTAGCGGGTGCGAATGACTCTCAAAGACAAGTGGTGAGAAACAAACACACTACCAATGAAAGACACCATCGCATCAGCGCAGTGACCACCTGGAACGTGTTTACAATACCATTCATCAACGCTCCCACTGAAGTGTTACTCTTTTGACTGGTCATAAACAGCCAACCTAGTGAACAATGCGGGGCGGACGCCCACTGAGGCGCAGAATGATTAGATGCAACTGACCGTTTACCGCACCCAGAAGGCGTCAGAAATTCCAGCATGTTGTCGCCGCATACACTTTATTAACGACGCGCTGTACAAGTGTTATTGACCTGGTTTCGGGCGTTAATATACGTTGTGCACCATTGGTGGTTGTTTTTCAGAGGAACGCCAGCTTGGGAGGTTCAGACCAAGAACTAAGCTGAGGAAAATACTGTTATTAAAGTGGCCTGTGAAATCCACACCACTGATGGGCTGATGAGTGATGGAATTCAGATGTTACACACAGTAAAAAAAAGCACTTAGTGTGATGGAGAAGTGGCGATAATGCTATCAGACTCCAGTGAAATTACGACAGGTGAGTTGTTTAATGTGAAAAGGGCTCAACTGGAACGCCTGGGATCAATACTGGACGGGAAACAAATTCGGTAAACGCGAGAGGATGAGTTGACTCGAATGAAATGGAAATTAATCGACGGAAAAACATAGTCCTCTTAAATCCAGTCTGTATGAAAGCATGCCATGGAGTTGCATGGGACCGTGATACTAGTGACGTCAGCATTCCTTCAATGATGCACTATTAGACTCTGTCCAAATAAATGACACTCCATAGTTCCGCAAGAGGAATGTGGATAATTAGCAAAGTCATGACCATTGGAACTAAAGTGACCGCATTGAGCCAATCCGCTCAACCTGACTGAGCTTGTTCGATCTGCCTACTGAGGCGTTAGAAAATGACTCCGTCGTTGGTACATTCATACGGCTGCCTGTAACCATATGTGACAGCTAACTGTCACGTGAAGACAAAGCTGAGAAGCTTTTCCACGTGACAGACGTCCACCGTCTGTGAGTTGGTACCTAGCATGGGTAGGTCGCGCAAGCATTGTACAGTGGTTACCAGAAATTTAGGATTCGTCACGTTTAAAGCTATGGAAATCTGTAAGATCAACACAGAGATATGGAATGTTAACCAGGGCGAAATGACCGTTTCTAAGGCTCTTTGTTTCCTTCGGGCAGTATGGAGATTTGCGCTAAATCGATGCCACAGCTGAACTGTTCGATGAATTAACTTTCCTGACAGGACATACTACTCATAAGCTGAACTTCGGCAAAACACTACCGATTACGCCATTGTTGGTTAAACTGTGTTTCGCGGGATTTACTCCGAAGACGTGGAAGAGGTGGTTCTCTATCGAAGTTGGACAAAACCCTGGGAAGTGTAACAATCGAAGACTACGAAGCTTGTGGTAAGTGCAGCGAATAACCGTAAAAAAAGCTGCAACCTTACGCAGCTATCAGATTTTTAAATGCCCTAGTGTGAGCCATCGCGTTGGAAACGAGTAGTTGCCATCAGCTTGTCTGGACGACGATCAAACTAGAGAACATCAAAAGCGAAACAATTTTGGTTGGGATAAGTGAAGGAATAAATTAAAATGAAGCAAGCTCGAACTAACACGAGATACGCGAAGCACACTGATGATTGTATTTACAATCTAGCAAACCAGGTTAAGAATACCCAATGCTTTGTAAGCTGTAAGAAACTCAAACGGATATCACGAATTCGAGTTTTAAGCTTGCACCAACACGGCCTACAAGTTAGCAAGCTACTCTAAATAACCCAAACAACGTAAGCATGTAGCCGAACGAAAGAAAGAAAGCAGAAATAAGGCTCAAAAGTTGAGGACGGTGAGTAAATTTTTCGGAGTTAGAGTTGGTTACCGGATAGAGAAGTCAAAAAGGCATTGGAACAGTGGGGTTATACGGAGTGACTCACCAGTAGAGTATAATAGTGACCATCCATCACAGTGATCATGGAAGCCGACCAAAATCCAGATAAGATAAAGCGAGGGGTAGCTGACGAATCAAACGTGGGGTCCAACACCATTGTCCGAACTACCGTATACAACGACAGGAGACGCAGGGGGCTATACACAAACTACGCGGCACCGGCCAAAAGAGGGCAAGCTGGATGTGCAAGGGGTACAATATGCACGGAAGAGTCCAAAATAAAATTCTTACCGTTGCCATAATTATCCACATCGGTACCTGAAGTAAGATAAAGTTAGTACGGTCAAGTGAAATCGACACGAGTTGGACAGTCATGCTCATACGGGCACACGACAGAATAAACTCAACGCACAAGTATCTTAACATGTAGTATTTCGATACATAGGTTGGCAACAAATGAATACAGAGAGCACCAATGCCATTACGGGTGTGAAGTGGAACCTCAAAGGAAGAATGGAATGAAGGTGGATGGGAAATGAACTTTTGCAGTGCACGGAGCAGGTATGAGAGCAGAAAGTCAATCAGACTATCAAATAGACGACGATCCGGCGAACCTTGCTCATTTTCAGTCGCGCCATCTGGTTTGCCCCAAGTTGCCTCTCTCTCGCCCAAAGGCTCTGTCAATGAGCTTACAACCGGGGTTTCTTCAACTACGACCGTTGCGCCGGATTCCACTTCGGGAACTTGTGACGGAATAGCGATAGATGCGATTGGCTGGTCTGACTCATGTGAAACGACTTCGGTTGGAGGCTGTGTGAGGTCAGTCGTAGGTGACTTGGGGAGACCTAAAATGAAATGGAGACGAAATAAGGAGTTAGTTGTGAGGGTGCAAATGTATTGCTCGCGCACGAGTAAGTAATGTGACAGTAAGACAGACAGATCACAGAAAGGAGATCCTTTCGACTAGTACAGCTTGAAGGAGAAAGCCTAACCGATAAAGTATGCTGGATCTGGCCCTTCCGGGTCGAATATGCTAGTCAACTTGCAATGTTCGACCAGAGTTAGTGCGAACTATTCTCTAACCATGATGTTTACCAATACTTATTCAGAATGACAACTACTTGTGGACCCCCAAATAACACAGGGTACAGTGATTCGGGTAAGTTATTTACAAAGTGGAATAACAAATAACGAAAGCCTTCTGCCAAGCACTCAATAGCTTGTGCTGTCGCTTTGGAGATTAGCTGAAAACTGACTTTTGATAACTGAATCTAGTGTCAGCGTTTTGCAGCCTCAGACATTTCATATCGCTCATAGGGAGAAACACAATCTGGAAGCAATAGATGCAGTTTGTCACCGGTCGCCGTGTATGGAAGGCTACAATCTGTGGCGCATATGATCCAGTTGATATTATAAGAAAAGTCACTCTAGGTAAAATGAGCTTGGTTCCGCACTGGAAATTCAAGTGGACACAACGGGAGAGTTGGTTTGCCAAGAGTCAGCGCCAAATGATAGAAAAAGCGGAAGTGGGGGTGCAGGGGGTTGGGGCTAGTCGTATAGAATAACCCATATAGAAAAATAGGCATGTTTCGTCAGACCCCATTCTTTTATAGACGTGGCAGTCCTGAACTGAATGAGTATTTGTGTGGCGCTCCCGATACGACAAAATTTTCCATGGATTTTAATGTTCTACTGAGTTGAGGCGAGATCAGCAGATATAGTGACGATGGCGGGGTTACTGACTGACTGAACGAGGAGTAGCCAAGCGCCTGCGGTCGCCCGAACAGAACTGGCACAGTTTGGAGTGGATCCCAAATACGATCACTGTATTGTAAGCAAGGCGACCTTAAAGGATCAATAATAATAGTGCAGCTGTCTTACTGACGCCGTCGACCCAGAGCGGCTTAGTAAAACTAAAAATATAGGACAGTCCAGAGGGAATCTACACAAGGGTATTTGAGTTCAGGAAAGGATGGACAATGTGCAATTTCCACCGTCTCGAGTAAAAAATTGATCAAGGCTGGCATCTAGATACACATTCTCGCATGTCTTGATAAGTGTCACGGGGATAGAGATGGAAACCCAAAAAAAGCAAATACAGATACTCATTCAAACTTCAACTACGTAAGTAGTAAAACAGGCATGTTGGCGTAAATTTATCTGGAAATATCAAATACTCACCAGATAGGCAAACACTGAACACCAACGGTCTTCACCACGATTGACGCACACAGGTGAGATTCCCACCGACAGTGACATTGCCAAACCACAGTGAAGGTCAACAACCCACACAGGCACGGTGGAGTTAACGATTAGAGTTAGAGCTGAACCTTCCGCCAGGGAAAGCTTACATAGGGTAGCGGTAAGTGGAACACCAACAACAGTTGCAACAAGGGAGAAGATTAAAACCATCAGACGCACAAAATCGAAGAAGAAATAAACTCTATGAAACGTTGACTCATTAGCCCAAGTACGAATATAAACAGATGATCCCAACGGATCACTCACCGACAATATAGGTATCCATATCGGGTCCTGGGGGAGGGGCATAGAGATAAAATTATAGCAGTTATGGGTATATTTTCAGGTGAACTATCAACGAACAAGCAAAGACCATAGTTCACTGACACGATAGATTGCATCACTGAAAAATGGAAATGTTTTGCTCTTGGCTGTATAGGCAAGGCTCTCAGGAGTTTTCTTGGTATACTCGTAAGTGCCTCTTTCATGTTTCTGTTTGTGTTGTCTAAAAAAAGATAAAGATAAAGCGTTCAGCTGTAGCACCCTTCCGGTGCTTAGCTGCCATGCCACCCGAAGGAAGCACGAGGGCTGGGATACTGCCAGGTTGCCCAAGCCTAGACAGGGGAAGTCGAGTGGCGGAGGTCGGATTCGAACCGCGGACCTTCAGGTTAGTAATCCGCGCTCTAACCACTTCGGCCACAGGCCATCTGATGGAATACCACTGACTAGATGATAAGCGCATCAGGAACGCATAACTTGCATTCGAATCCTGACACGCGAATGAAAATGCACACTAGCGCTAAGCTCAAAAGAGGGTTTTAATACTGTACAAGGTGATTTTTCAGATGGTCAAGATATATCCAACACAGTCAGTGACTAAATCACAGGTCTACGGAACACAAGCAAGCGGTGGAATTTATAATATCGGAAACTAAAAGATAATTATTGAGCAGGAGAGAAACGAAATGGTACGTGGCTCACCATTATTAGAACAGAGGATTCATACGGTTGGTGGCCATAAAAATGACTAGTGAAATGTACTGGTGGAGTTTGATAACAGGTTGTATTGAAATAAGATCCCTTCCAGCAGCGCTTCTGCGAACCAGAACCGAGATGAAAACTGCTAAAACCCCACTTATCCGTGATAAAAGAATAAGCTTAAGATGTTTCGGGATAAAACATAAGATAACCCGGTAGGGTCGACTGATTTCCTATGGAAATCATTCGATATCAATGTGAAGTAAATACGTTTTGTAAAGGTAAGAATACTTGAAGTTGAGTTGACCAGAGCCGGATATCTCTTGGAGTTCTTAGGTCAGAAACTGAGTCACTTCAGGAATCCTACAGAGACATCATTAGACTGCTATTAATACTTCGTCAAAAATTTATAGATTCTTCGTGATGATAATCACGCGATACAACACCCTCAATAAGTAAGTGGACTGATCAACGAAATTGGCAGACAAGTGAAGAGTAGCTCAGAGAAATTTGGACATTGCTTTGGCGACAAAGGCAAGCACAAAATAGCCTAGATAAATTGGATTCTCAATAATAACGGGCGCAGGTGGGATGTAGGTATCGGTCACCAGCGACAGTGACATGGTCCATGGAGTTGAGCTAAACTCAGACGAAAGAAGAACATACGCCGTCCTGCTGAGCCTTCATCTTCGCTCGAATGGTCCGTGCTTTGCACTCTACCCCACGTGGACTCTCTCAATCCTTCCGGTTCCACTAATGAGCTCACGAACATTTTATCACCATCATCGGAACGCCTCCGTTCAGGTTCGGCAAACGGCGACGGACCCCAAGTCGCTTCGTTTAAACCACAAGGCACAGTGTAGACTGGCTCGATTAGGGCGTCCTCCATTTCCACAAGATCCGATTCAGGAATCTCTGTAAAGAAGATAGAGAAGGTGGGTCTAGGGGATGTCTCGGTCAACATGTCCCAAAATTCATATATTGAACATATAAACTACTTATAGGGAGCACCTCGGGATTAGCAAGCAGCTAACAGGTTAGGACGATGTTTATGAGCAATCAGATATGAGACTTAGCCCATATAATGAAACCGGTGAATATGTTGTGATAAGCTAATGTTGATGTGAATAAAAAGCAAAACTAATGGGCGTATACACAGAGGATGGAAATCACCGACAGTCAATAGCCAATTGTGCAACCTTCAGAAAACGGCAAAACCAACATAAAGGAAAGGCAATCAGTTCAGTGGGGTGGACTACTTAATCGTCAGAGCTGAGTGGACATTCTGAACTAGATTGGCTTTCGACTCTGGTCATATTGATGAAGAAAAACTGACAATGAAGCCAAAAACCTTAACAGAACGCAAAACGTGCCATAAAAAGAGGAAGAAAAGTCACTGAAATCCGACCAGTTCGGTTAACTTTGGGTGCAATCTTTTTCTAGAGTAAATGAAATTTAAAAATCGTTCAGCTGTAGCACTCTTTCGGTGCCTAACTGCCATACCACCTGAAGCATACTGCCAGGTTTCCTGAGCCTATACAGGGGAAGTCGAGATGCAGAGGTCGGGTTTGAACCACGGACTTTCTGGTTAGTAAATTCGCGCTCTAACCACTGAGCAATCTTGTCAAGGAAATTGCAAGAAATGAAACTAAATGCCGATTGACCGTTTCAAAATCACAACACGGTCCAGAATACCGAACCCCATGACCAGTGACTAGCATTGGCTTTAGTGCAACCCAGCAGTTCCTTAGTTTTACTCGTAACTGAATGACCTTCTATCCATCAAGGGTTGTGTTCTGTTAATCCAAACCATTGAGTGGTATGCAGCCGCAGGTGCCCTGAACACAGCCACCTAACGTGCTAGCCGCCAGCCTTGGCACTTACACCCTCGAACCTGCGCAGAAGGTTCCATTATCCCTCACACTATGTTGATTAACGTACCCTTCACGTAGAAGGTCCCAGAAACTGAAAAAGCGATGTGAAGTTCGGGTCGGTCACGTACACACCCCATTTCAGTTGTAAACATGCCGTTTTCGTAGAGGTTGACCATATTTGCCTGGCCACTATATATATATATATATATATATATATATATATATATATTCAAACGCAGCAATTTGGCTGCGTATTGGACTGAGGGACGTTTCATTGAAGAGACTGGGACCCAGTGGAGGCTTACCCACTGTCAAATTTGGGCAGCTGTTTGAAATTTGTG